GATTCCAGATTAATAAACTATAACAAATTTATTTTAGATATTTTTGATTAGAACATTTAAAAATCACATCAATTTGTTATTTATTTGTTTAGGCGTGCACAGGACCAGCCAATTATAAGTTAGCAGATTTATACCTCTTAGTTGCCAATTTAATTGAAAGTGAAGCTCAAGCAATTGCCTCTTTGCAAAATGTTAAACAAGAAGTATGCTATTATTATTATTATTACTATTCAGTTACTTGAATTTCATGAATAGTTTTTAATTTTAATTTTTTTTTGCACAAATTTTATTAGATTCAAACCATTCTGGACAGTCGTGAACAAGAAAAAGCTGCATTGAAATTAAAACATAATATATATGAAATGCAAAAAGTAGACATACTACAAAAAGAAGAAAAGCAGGTAAATTGTTACACTCATAAATCATATTCAAAAGAATTACCTTTAAGTGTCGTAAATTTTTCTTATAAAGATTGAAGAAGAAGCTCCAGAAACACAAAAACTGACAAACGAAATTAGCCTAGATTACCTAAAACCATACTTAGCCAAGTTAGGGTATCCGGAAATTTTGAATGATAGACAAGCCAACAAAGTTTATAACGATTGTTTAACAGATTATCAAAAGCTTCTAAATAGCAGAGGCGAAAGAATAAGAACGCAATTAAAAAATGTATTAGTTCAAGTCTTTTATCATAATTAATTTAATATGAGAATTATGCGATTAACACATTTAGACTTCGTAATAATTTTATTATAGGATAGAACAATATTAAAAGAAAAACAAAATTGGTTCAAGATTCATCAAATCGACTTAAACAAACAAGAGCTAGAAGAGTATTTACAATTAATTAAAAAAATGAATTTGGTTATTAGTGTCAGCGAGAGTAGGTTAAAATGGTAAGTAATTATAAAAATAGTAAAATTTTTAATACGTATTTTAAATATTGTCTTATAGATTAAATTTTATAAATAGGCATACGGAAACAAAAGAAACGAAAATAAGTAATCTGAAGAAAAAACTAAAAGACGATCCAAGATTGCGAGACCACGTGTAACGGCAAAAAAATAATTTATTTCAAATTGGATTAATATAAAAATTTTAAATCTATATCTATATCTATATATCTACATCTATATATATATATATATATATGGACGTGTGTGTCTCTATATTTCACTTTTCAGCCAAAACTACACATCGTACATGAGTGGTGTTTGTATGTGGTAGTAGCCCCAAGTCTCCATTCGTGCACTATGGTGGTTGCGTCTCGATAGCTATAAGGGCGCGGGAGATATGGGCTTGAAGGTGGTTGAAAGTGGAAGATTTTCTATTTCGATTTTAAAAATTTCGAATTTCGAATTTAAATTCGAATTGGTTCGATTATAGAACAATTTAAAACGTTCCAGAAAATTGATCAAATTGAAAATAGTTCGTTTGACTGGACGTAAAAATTTTCTAATCAGTCTGGAAACGGGGGACCTAATTATTGCATTCTGTGAAAACGGGTAAGATTGGCTATAATGTAATTATCTTCTTCACTATCGTTACTTTTNATGTGTGAAGTTTAAGCGTAACGCAAAATATGTTCGTAATACACAAGAATATCTCATATATTTATAAGTATTTTTTCTAGAACATTTACTGTAAACCACATTATACTGCTAGATAGATGGAGACTATCAGCACTAAGTTGGTCACGTAATTTACCGACGTGTCGATCACGCCCAGGTCTATCTTTCTCGTTTGTCTTGGGTGTGAACAGTACGTCGTCATTATTTCACCGGGCTAAAGTAATCGCCCTATTTTTGTGTGATCGATGTGCTGTATTGTACATTTAATATACGTATTCAATGAAGAACTTTCGTACGCATTGCTCGCTAATAGCGAGGTTGTGGCCGAAGTTTTCATCTCTAAAACGTTAACGTCGAACGTTGAGCACCGCTATCTTGTAAGCGGCGCTCGACATTCGACGTTTACGTTTTACAGATGAAAACGTCGGTCACAACTTCGCTAATGTCCCGAACTGGCATATGTCAACCGCTTTTTGCCGGGTTAAAATTTACGAAGATATTTCGAGACATAATGCAAAAAAGTCGTAAAGCGGTTTTTCGTTCCTACTCGGACGCAAAATTTACTAATTTAGGAAGGATTTTGGGTCGGCCACGTTCCCGCTTATAGCCTAACTGGATGACGTTCTACGGAATATCTTAAGAAATTTTAAGCCACGTTCTACCGGGCTTAAAATTTCCTAAGATATTCCGAAACATATTGTGAAAAATTTGAAGAGGCTTTTTGCTGGTTCTAATCTTGACATTTATATTGTATTTCATAAGCAATCACGTCTAATCTTTCATAAATCACGTGCTCGCCATAACGTTACAAAATTTAATGCCCCTTACACAGATGTTTAAATAAGTTTATTTCGAAATTATATCTGCAAAGAAATAACGTTATTTCTTTTAGAAATATATTTTAGACAATATTAAATAAAAGATGTTACAAGAACTACATTCTTCACATTCTCTATGGCCACACAACTTCATCAAATACATAATTTTGTAGCAGAAGTCACAAATATTCCGGTGAATTGTTGCTGGTTCACTTTGTACATTCATAATATCACGGTGAAGGCATATTTATTTGGTTGTGCTTTTTAATTTCTAAAAAAAAACAAGAAATCAAGTGTTATTTTATTTATTATAAGATATTGAATAGTTAATTGTAATACAGTAGTGGCTATAAAAATTGCATCATTCATAAAATCTGATAAAAATATGTTTAATATTTTTCTCTTACTTTTAATTAAATTATGGTACAGTATTAAGTGCGGGTTGTGTTTACCTAAGCACCACAAAAAAGAACGTCTTTTTATATTGAAGTCCCCAATATCTATATATTGTTCTATCAGAGACAGTAAAATATCGGGTATATGCTACCTATAATTATATATGTACAGTACTGTATATTATTTATCCAAGCGCCAACCTTATCTTTACCTAAGAAAAATTTTGACCATCGTCTAAATTGTCATAAATTCTTACTTGGTGTAATTTTTTACATCTCAGATATTTTTGTTTAATTACTGTATTATCACGTCACGACATGAGACGATGACGTACAATTGAACAGGCACTTGGCGACTGAACACGGTGCCAATCGACGTTTTCGATACGCATTTTAGAAAAAGCGTTATAAAAAGTTTCAATTCACATAAATTATAGATTTTGTAAATCTGAGTAACACTTTGAATAAAATTCATTTGTTTCCATGCAATTTTGTCTTTATAAGCATAAAATTCAACAGTAAAATTGAATTAGCTCTATGGGGAAACCCCCGAGAACTTTGACCTATCGACCGAAAGTTTGGCCAAATCCTCACTGATAACGAGAAAGGCTTAAGTTAAAAATTTGAACTTNTGGACGTGTGTGTCTCTATATTTCACTTTTCAGCCAAAACTACACATCGTACATGAGTGGTGTTTGTATGTGGTAGTAGCCCCAAGTCTCCATTCGTGCACTATGGTGGTTGCGTCTCGATAGCTATAAGGGCGCGGGAGATATGGGCTTGAAGGTGGTTGAAAGTGGAAGATTTTCTATTTCGATTTTAAAAATTTCGAATTTCGAATTTAAATTCGAATTGGTTCGATTATAGAACAATTTAAAACGTTCCAGAAAATTGATCAAATTGAAAATAGTTCGTTTGACTGGACGTAAAAATTTTCTAATCAGTCTGGAAACGGGGGACCTAATTATTGCATTCTGTGAAAACGGGTAAGATTGGCTATAATGTAATTATCTTCTTCACTATCGTTACTTTTTGCCCAGCGAAGCGGGTCCTTGCAGCTAGATTCTAGATAACTTAGAAAAACAGTCTTTTATATATGAAAAAAACTATATTACATACAAATAAAAATCCAGCGAAGCGGGTCCTTGCAGCTAGTAATTTATATAAAATTCAATATGACTTTTCAAAATATCTTATTTCAAAATTAATTTTGAAACGAAAATCATTATCTACAAAAATAAGATGTAAAAAGAAATGGAATATAAATTTTGATAGAAAGATGATTTTAATTTATATCTAATCTTCGATGATTGTCTTAAATGTTCACACTTTAAGCTGGATTTACACTATCAGACAAGAAAATGACACGACACGACAAATAATGGAATATTTACTTTATTGGACATGTAACAAACCACACACAACAAAACAATTTGCCAGTCGCTTTAGCGTTGCTATCTACATACGTTCAGAAATTTTTCTGTCAATGATTTGGCTACAGGCTAATAGCCGTGTTACTCGACGAAGACGAACCCCAAATAAAAATAAAGTTATTAGGGTACACAAAATGTCGAATAAACTCAAAATTGGAGAATACGGCAAATGGACGACGATTAACTGGGCCACAGAAACTTAAAAATTTTTGCACACTTAGCAAGCATATGCTTTGGCGGATATTTAATATTGGTAATATATATAGGCTATAAATATGGTTATGACGTACGAGTTACGAGTTATTTTCAACTTAGGAAAAGGAAATGTTTTCGAATAACGTACTACAGTTTCGTTAGTTTATTTTATCTGTTAACAAAATCGCATCAAAGAAAAGCAGTTCTTCGAAAACGAATTCTTCCGAAAAACTTTTATACTTTTTTGTTTTAATTCATATTGTATTTAATGTATAATGTAATGTATATTTTTATGTGATTGTTGTCTTTGTTTTTACGTATATTTGTTAATTTTGGAGACGATATTAATTATCATTTTCTATTTACTTATAAAAGTAAATAAATAAAGACTGAGTAGAAGTTTACTTAGGTAGTTCCAATGGCGGCACTTCCGAAATCTCGACAATATGCGTGTTTTGAAAGTTAATGTAGGTGTCTCTGTCTTTAGTTTACGAGATTTCTAACGTCATTTCAGTACTAGAATAATTTCCTAACATTTTATAATTTTTTTAAAGTTATTTAATTATTAAGGTTCAAAAAGTTATATATTGTTGTGTGAATCATTTTTTCAAAATTTATATTTGATATTTTGTTGTTTATTGTTGTAATGGCGGAGTTTGGGAAACATCAAAAATTTTCTTGGCAAAAGTGTACTTCAAAGGATTTTTTCTTTTAGTATCGTAATTTCCCGAATTTAATTTTGAGAAGAGAATTTCTTCAGTTGGTATATTTGCCATAAAGTTCGGTATGCAACCTGCAGATGAAGATTATTCGAAATGTGATGGTCGTCGTAATACAATTATCGAAAGTATCGTGATTCTGTTTCTTTTAGATGTCATAAATGCAAGATGAACAGTTCGTCATTTGAAGTAATTTTTAAACGTAAATTTGGGAAAATTTCTTGGAAACTACTTTTTCGTTTATTTGGCATCTAATTTGCATAGAATGTACAGTACAGTACAGTACAGTACGTTGAGCGTCACATGTTTGTACATACGAGTAGTCGAACAGCTATTGACTGGGCGAATTTCGTAAGATACATTATGATTGTTTCATAGTCTAATTTTACCGGAATGAAAAATGAAAAGTTTTGAACGTTAGGCCTAGAAGTTAGGCTTCAACTTTTCCATTGAGAATGTTTAAGGCCCACTTGGGCGAAGTCACCGGCAGGAAGCAGAGCGGACTCTGTTTCCCGGTTCATTAAATCCCACACATTCCGAGCATTCTAGTGGTTTTTGTTGTTGTCCTTGTTCTTTAATGAGATTCTTTGAGTTTTAAGTAATTTATAGTGTAGTGGCCCTAACCTGCGTTTTATTACGATCTGGGCTTATTCTGAGGTCGTCCGATAACTCGACGAGAGTGATACACGGGACATTCGATAAATCCTTTTAGCGAAATGCAGTTAACGAACCTTAGACAAATCGCTATTCTGTGCTCCACATTAAGTGGGTTTCGCTACGGCTATCGGTCGAGATGCGTCCGGGTTCCATGCTATCGATAGCTATTACGCTTTAACCAATCACAGTTTAGTTAACATTGTATTTTTGTCACGTGACTGCAACCCTCTATTTTCTAAGCGAAGCACGTTGTTTAACGTTGTCATGTACGGTACCAGCGCTAGTGAAGTAGTTTTGTTTTAAAATGTCGAAGAA